AAAAATACAAAAACAGTAGAAAATAGAAATAGAATGTTATGAAATGGTATGAAACATTGGGAATAAAACAAATAAAAAAATAAATATCGAAAACAAGTAAATCAACCACGTGACGTCAGCGACCGAGTTTGTCGTCTGCTTTTAGAAAAGATGGCATCATTGGAATACACTGACGAGGAAATGTTAAATGTACCTATCAATCATGGCACTTTTGGTATACATCTACCAGCAACACCTAATACTGACCAAGAAGAAGATAATTGGAGTGATTCGTCAATAACTGACCTGATAGCGGCCTCCGAAGTGACTCTGAGCGACATTCAACACATGGAAAGACAAATAACACAATCCGACATGGATATCCCCCCTCCGGGAACTCCGGTATTGGAAGTGATTACAACCATGACGGCAGACAATTTGGAAAAAATATTGCAATTAGCCGATAATATCGGGGCTACTACTTCTACTTTCCCTGAAGTCAAAGATGAGACAGTTCATGTGCAAGAGGAGCCCGATACAGATACTAAAAAGAGATTTAAAACAGTTGATGCTAACCAGCAAAAAATATACCAAGACGCCAACCAAAGCGAGTCAACCAAAAAACCCACATCATGGGCCCTGAAGCTGTTTCAAGGTAAACATTCCTCCATTTACACACATACAAACACTTGTACACACACTCATTACGTTGACATTTTTATGAATGGGTTTACAGCCACCAATCAAAGCCGTCGCTGACCAATTAGGCTACCGTCTGAACAAATCATAACAAATATCTCACGCTGCAAGTGACTCCGTGTAAACAGTGTAAACACACTTGATAAAATTAATTGATTATCGCATTTTAAAAACAGCAAATAAACAATTATTTCATCATTACACAAAGCTTTCATCTTCTTGTTGCTGGTTTAAAATCCGTTATCATATCATGATCGATCAGAGCAGCTCACAAAATCGTGGATTATAACAATTTTTTTTTCTCTTTTCAGACTGGCACCATGAAGTATACCAGGGGCCCTTGGATTTTACTGATGTGAATGTGGAAAACCTAGCAACAGTTTTAGCGAAATTTTACTGCGAAGCAAGACCAAAGCAAACTGAGGCGAGGGCAAGCATGTTAAAACCTGAACATGCCGGGGAATATCACAAGAACACTCTCANCAGATATCATCACGAAATAAGATCTAGGCAAAATTTGCACCTACCTGAAATCTATGTGTCACTCATCAGCTGTTGTTCTCCGTTAAGCTGTGTGGTACAATCTCGCGATTCATTTCGTCAGTTGCGGTTTGGAATTTCATAAACAGTTGCACCTAAATTCTTTCGAATTCTGCAGCGATTAAAATGGCACAGAATACGTGACTATTAATCACGAGACACGGCAAAAAAAACTTCCGGTGGGGTTTATCAAATTGTGAAGCCCCGTCTGACAAACGAATGTATGCGGTAGACTCCGAATTCTGTCCAGTAAAACTTCTCCGTCAACTCCGTAACAGAACAGATGAATCAGCACAAAAGCTATTTAACCACTTCATTCGTGACGTTTCGAATAGTCTGGATTTGGTTCGCATGAATCCATTTGCTCTACAAAAGTTTCAAAATTGGAATACATGATAAAAGGTACTTTCATTTGTTTCTGAAAGTCCTGAAACGATAAGAGGGCATCGTCTTCACTGGGAAATTTAACTATCTGCGTCTTTTGATTGGAACACAGTTCCATATGTCTGTTTAACAGTACGCTACTCGTGAAACCCTGCAAACAATGCTGACAAAAATATGTTAGATGTTTCGTTTTTTTGGTTCTACTCAGAAATGTGTTCCAATTCGGAATGAGGCAGTAATGGGTTTTTACACCTTCTTGTAAAGATAGCAGATTGACGTGATGACGGGGCTGTTTCGTCTTTGTCACGTACATGGGATAAATCGTTTTATCCTCGACCCCAAACACGTTCACTGCTACACCGTTCTGTCTTTCGAATTTGTCGATTTGAGAGATTGAGATAGGATACTTGATACCTGTCATATATAATTCGCATTCGTACTTCTCGTAATGAGAAACGCGTTCGGGTAGAGCATCGACCAGATGGAGAGACGCTTAAACTGACCATAGGAAGCACTTATCGTCAGAATTAAGGACATTGATTAAATGGTGCCTACTAAAAGTGAGTGGAGTCGGTATGTAAGAGGAACCATTCAAAGGTGAGTAATTTGCAATGTGTAGTTCTAGCTTAATGATTTCTTGAGTACCCTTGCCGAACGAATTCCTCAAACGAGGCAAACCTTTGCTGGTAAGCTTCATTGATGTCGTGTTCTATACCCGATTCATTTGGCATCAACATATAATTTCTACTCAAGAAATGTGATGTGGCCTGCACTACATTACCTTCTCGGTCCTCCTTTTCCAATGATATACGAATGTTTAAGTACCATTTTATCCCGTTCAAACTCTCACACAGATTTTTGACATGTTCCATCACTTCCGTTTTCGAATTAGCAAAAAAAGGTGAGTATGTCACTATTGCCCTCATAATTTGGAAATATGTTTCTGACATTAGCATTCCCTCCCAAACTCACATCGTCTGAAAAAGTATGTCCTTCTTGCACAGATGATCCCGGCAGCGGCGACTGAACATCGGAAGGCCTGACAGCGGTGACTGAACATTAGAAATCCCTGGCAGCGGTGACTAAACATCGGAAAGCCCCGGCAGTGGCGATTGAACACTGGAAGGTCCCAGCAGTGGCGATTGAACATCGGAAGGTCCCGGCCATTGAACATCGGAAGGTCCCGGCAGTGGCGATTGAACATCATAAGGTCCCGGATGATCGAATATCTCTTTCTCCTCCAGTCTGTGTTGATTCATGATATTTTGCTACGTGTGCTTTCATAGTATATTTCCTTCCGAACGTCTTATTACATATGTGGCACGTTCTTTTGTTCACCACTGTTTTCATTTCTGATTTTTTTAGTCGTCTAATGCCCTTTTCAACTTTCTCAGAGTTTCTATGGCATTTTCGTCTCCATTAGACATTGAATTAAGTAAATCATCGAAATATCGTAATGCCATGTTTCTCGTTCGAGTGTTTCATCCCTTTATGTGCCCACTTTCGTTCAAATGTGTAGGTTTTATATATTAAATGACAACCATTTCCGCTGGTTTGTTTCTCAAATTGAAGAGGGGTGGTCTTCACAAAAAGTCTTCCACCTCGTTGACTCTTTGTTTTTCCACACATGCTCCGTCTGAGTGATGTACTCTGCTCTCTGTCATTGCGCGGTTTTTCAATAGATTGATAATGTTCGTAACCGGTTGATTCTACACTCGACTTTCATTTCATTAGATGGGACGACGTTGTCTTCCAACTTATTAGAGTTAATATCAGTATCTGGTGGGATGCTCGATGAATCGTCGGGTTCTTCATGTCTTATGATTTCGTCATTTTTTCTAGCCAAGTAATTTCTGAAGAATACGGGTAATATTTGACTCACTACAAGTAGTCTCTGTCTTCTCTGACGTCTACTGATTCCTTCCGTTAATACCTTACGTATGACCACTTTGTGTTTAGCTATATTCTTTGTATCCTCGTTAGAAATGGTAATGTTATCTACTGCAATGTTATCAATTATTTCCATCAAAAACTTAAGTTGTCGATCCGTTAATGTTAACAAGATGCCTTTCTTCTGATCGCTCGATGCTATCAACCATCATTCCACTAACCTCTTTATTGTTTTTAGGAAAATACAACACCGTGTCCTCTCCCGGTAAGATCCTGGTGCGGAGTGGTGGTACTTCGGAGCGTAGATCGATGATATTTACATTCGGATTCGACGGTGAGACATCGATTAATAAATAACCGAATATGTTGCCAACAGGTATGCTTCTCTAAAATAAGCGCTCTGTCTGGGAAATATCTGTCGTCCCAATGCTTCCACTTGCGATTAATCTCTATAGTTTCTAAACAGAACGAAATATTGCGTATTTAGACTCAATGTGCGCATTACTTTTCCTTTCTGGAATACGTTGTGTACTAAAAACATGACGGTAAAGTTTTGATGATGAGATTTCACGCAAAACATTTTCATTAGATGTGGGCTGTACACTCCCTCTGCCAAACAGTCGCCTATCACCAGTAGTCTATGACCTTATATATCCCCCCATTCGTTAAACTGATCTCCGTTTGGTAAACCTTGATGAAACGTGATATTCCTCAAGTTAACTCGTCAAACGTAGGCTGCCACGTGTCGTAACATAGAATGATCTTTTTAGGGGTTCGCTAAACATACCATTAGCGTTCTCCAATATCTTTTTGGTTAGGAATGTTTTTCCAGAACCAGTAGCACCACACATAATGATTCTACATGGGGATTGGAACTTGATGAGACTCTCTCTGGTATATCACGCCATCGTTGATTATAAAATGAAGACACAAACACAAAACTTTACTATTTACAAGATTATTTTTTTCTGCAACCTTTTTTTTCTTTTTTTTTCTATACATTAATAATATTTCCTGTATACTTTAACAGACTTTTTACAGTTCGACACAACATGTTTGATGAGTACGTGTATAGTAAAAACAGTAAGAAAATGAATTCTGAATGAATTCGTATACATAATTGTCATTTGCTTCTAAGTTATTTCCAAAAGGTTTTAGGATGGATTCCATCGTTATCCCTCTGCAACGATTCAGCAGGTAGTACAAACAATATTGTCCACACACTTTCGGTGTGTTACTCTGCAGCCGTCTATCGTTGTAGGTATTAGCTTCAAGCGAAAATTACTTAAATGAATGTCCATAACTATCGAAAAATTCCTTCTTTTCCTTTGATGTACAATAGAAAGCTAGCCAGTGTCTTCCCGGACTATCACGATTGTCCGTATTAACGATGTAACCAATTGGAAATGTTTCCATTTCACTCGGTATCTCGTCACGAGCGTAAACCCCCATCACCGTTTTTCTCATTACAGGATCACAGTCTATGACGCAACGCAACTGTGAGGTGTTCATGGTAACACTATATCTCTCGCAGCGTTGATTTCAAAGTAACCCGGATATTCGCAGTAAATGATGCAGAACACCGCTGTCGTAAATGCCGTCCCAAAGATGAACTCTAGTCTGACGTTCCCTTGTTTGAGTAAGGTGAGATATTGATTGGTTTGAAAGGTAGGTTCCAATTCGAAGGTGTAGAGTGCATAACCTTTTGCAATGTCGTCCCTCTCTATGTCAGAACCGGTATCGTCAAGCCATTTCCCCGTCGATTGTAACATGGTCCTAAGGACTGGAATGGTGGTCTGACCGCCGGTTGCACTGTACTTGAGTTTTATGGGGTTTCCACCGACTGGTATTCCATCTACGTAGACTCCTAGGGATGTGACGTTATAGGGTTTGAAAACCCAGGGGTTCTGTTCGTAGTCACCGGTGGTACTGGTGGCGTTTACGAATCCAACTACGACGAGGTTTGGTCTCACACCTTGGAATATATTATCGTAAGTGAAGTTTGTTGTCCCAGTAGGGATGGTCATCTGCTTGATTATGGTCTGTAAATGGATATTTGGCATTGGTCACGTCGAAAGCTTGACTTTGTGCATAGATGACGGCCGGGTTGACCTTGACTTTGCTCACACGTAGTCGAATATCTTTAAATGATACCTTTTAATCGGCGGATGCGGTGCCGGATAGGAGACAAAAACTTGATTTAGAACGATAAAGTTTGTCGTTGACTTGATTCAATACATACCTATCCATTTTGAAAAAAATCGTGATAGAGCGGACCGACCACATCTACCACTTTCCCACCTTCGAACATTTGAGCTCTTTGCAAGAGAGCGTTGTTTGCTCCGGTCCTAGGACTATGTTCACCCATATTTCCCTCGTCGTCCCGCTTCCATATTTGGGAAGTCAACTGAGTTGTCTTTGCTTCATCACCGTATTTCTAAAGACTCTGTATGTAAGCCTTATAGGAATAATGACTCGTCGTTGAAACTATGTTCTTCCCCTGTAGAGAACTGTCTACTTGTGAAAATAACGAAGGTAGAAACAAATTGATGGGTCCCACATCATCGGTTAGGGACATGGTGGTTCCGTCCGCTTTAGTTATTTTTACCTTTGCATAGATCAGACTGTTCCGTAAATCTAGTAATTCCAATCCGTTTTGTCCGGAAACGACGAATTCTACTACAGAATCGCTCGTGATTTGAGATAACGGTAACACGTCATGATAGTAAATGTTTTCGACAGCTGTCTGTGGCGGTGGAAGGTCAAATATCGCTAATTCTGACGGTTGTGCTTCTCTGAAGAACTCTTTGTTTAACGCAGCCATTGTGATATCAGACCCTTATTTTTCCTCTTATTCTTTTTCACAGCTTTCCCTTTGGCTTTACTTTTCAGTTAACTCGCCTTCCGTTTTGTTGTACTTGTTTTTCTTTTCATCAGATGCGTTCGTGGAGTGTTGACACGTCGGCGTTTCCTGGCAGACTGACGGCGATTTGGAGTTCGTTTCCTTTTCATCTTGGATTTGGTTTGTTCTAGTACTGGTTGAGCTGGAGAGACCATGCTTACGTCTACCTCTCGCACAGGTAAGAATTTCCCTCACATCGTTTTTGCCTATGGGAATCATGAATTCGTTCGAATTTTGTGACAATCCGCCACCGAATTGCTTCACGTTTCGTTTCGTTTTGTCTACAAAAGCATTCTCTTTTCCACATCCATTTCCCCACGTTGGGAACGTACATCTTTGAAACTTTCATGCTAGAAAGGATATTGTTGAAAGTGAAGAGTGATCGTCGCTTCATATTTTAAGAATGAAGGTGAATCACGCTTTCCCGTCCTTATATAAAATTCTATGTCTTTAACTTCTGACTTTTTCACAGATACGGAGAATGGAACATTGAACGATTGGGACCAGTTTGCTTCTTTTATTGCTCTTACCGGACGGAGAAGAGTTTCCTTTTCACCATCGAAGAAGCTTTCGTCACATACGTCACTGTGTAGGTATAAGTGCTGTCTCGTCTTCGTACCACTCGTAGCAAACTCGATGTCGACTAAGGCCACTTTCCATGTAGATTTAACGGTGTTTGGAAGATCGCATCAAATTGGCAAGGGTTTTTTTGAGGAAAGTAATTCTTACTTCCATCGCTGTGAATGACTACGAAATGTGACATCTTTGCTTACATCTCTGATGTCTTTCTCTGCTATCCACTGGTTATATTTAGATGGCCAGCCCTCGAATTTGACCGGCTCTCTTACGCTTTTTCATTTTTTCTTCGATGTACCATAACGCGTTTTCGTCCTTGTCCACTCTCTTTAGTTCGGATTGATAAAAGCTCCCCGTGATTGAATCGTTCAAAAGGTCTATTAACTGGTACTTTGGTATACCTTGACGTAAGAAACGCTTGTTGATTTTGAATATTTCTAAAGACCATTGTTGTTGATAAGCTCGTTTAAAAGGTTGTTTTTAAATGTGAGATTCTCACCAGGCTTTCAATCTTAAACCTTAAGTAGAGGATTATCGCCCTTTGCATGTAGGTTGTTAGTGTTCCGGAATATCCGGGTATCGTTTTTCTTATTAGGAGTAAAGAATAGCATCCGGGTTGAGTTTCAAGCTGTAGTCGGCACGTGGGCTTGTTTTATATAATGTTTACATCATAATACCTGATAGGTATGTTATCATCATTTTATTATGTGTCTCACTGTAAGCTTTAAGCGAACGCTTCAATTGTTTGTATCTCAATCGTTCATATTAATAGTGTACAGTTTAATTGTCTGTCGATGTAAACACAATGTAATTGTACCCTTGTTTTATTTACAGATGACTGTGATCATTGTTGTGAAATAAAACGTGACAAATATAACTGGTTCTTATTTATGATCACAGTCATCTATTTTTGTTCTGTTTCTTTCTGTGATACATGAAGGCGAAAATATTGGCTTTGTTGTTTTTGTTAACATCTTTGGGAGCAGTACCATTTATAACGTTCTGTGAGGTGTAGCATTGTAACTCTTGACAAAATCTTGCAATTTGTCTGCATATACATAAGTTCTGTATTTCGTGAAATACCTATACATCGTAGTCTTCAGCGTTCGTATGACACGCTCGACTACGGAAGCTTTCTGTTCAGTGCGACTAGTAAAGTATTTAATGTCATTGTCTTCACAATATCGTCTCATCAATTTCCCGGTAAATTCTTTACCTGCGTCAGTATACAAACGTTTTTTTTTTTGCGTGTCTGACGTGTCTGACGTTCTTTCTAAGCGCATCTAACACGTCTTTTGTCGTTTTCGTTTTGTAGGTTCCACCCATAAGAAGCGGCTGAATACATCTATGACGACGACAACTACCGAATACTATCAATCTGTTTAGAAAGGTTCGACACGTCTGCGACATCGGCTTGAAACTCCTCGTAAGGACCGGATACTTCCACTCTTGCTCTCTTGAAAGAACGCTTGATTGTATTTTGTAAGCTTTAATCGTCCAAGCTCTGAATATATCTTCTAATCTTGTATGGCCTGGCGAAGTGAATCCTTGGGATTTCAAAACTTGATGAACTTTCGTTGGACTGTTTAAACTAACTCCATTCTCGGAATTGAAATACACCTCATTTATAAGTCGCTTCTCTTCCTCGGTCAACATATTCAATGATAATACAGACAATATAGTTATATGTAGTCTTTTATTGTGCTGTTTTATGAAACCAGTGTTCTACACGATTCATGGACATGACTATTTTAAAACGAACAGTCTCTCGAATACTGTCACGAACCACTCTGATGTCATCTAGATGAATAAAGGCGACCATCACATCAGATTGTCTTTCACTTATGATTTCTCTGACGTGGTTTGCATACATCAATTTCAATAAGTTGTCCATACTGACGACTTCCGGCGCATCTAAAGTAGCATTCATTCCCATGGGGATATCTTAATGTTATTACTAGGTGGGTTAGGTAAAAACACAATGCTGATCGATGCATTCTATAGAAAAGTTTTTTTGGTTCCAATATTTCAGTGTTTTCCCACACTAATAACAAGTCACGCAATCGCTGACACTCTCGTAAAAAACGTCACAGGATAACTGATAAGGACTCTGACGAAGTTTACCTGCCCACTGAGCAAATGTTAACAACCGATCGTCACAGATCGTCATGTGTAGGTGAACTGGGCGAGCAGTATCAGTGTCCATCTATAAGTAGAATGAATAGATACGCTGCTAATATTCTTTCCTATAGCGTTACTTTATTATTTGTCTACAGTAAGTTCACCATTACATCAACGTATCTTTCGGGTGCTCTTTCAATATGTGTTTCACTAGTCGTTTCTCACCTCTGTCAGAGTAGTTTTCACAATAACATACACAGATTAGACAAATGTATCTACGACGTCTCTCGTATTCGTCAACGATTACGGAAAGCTGATCACCATCAACGTCAATTTCCACTTACTGATCACCGCTCATACTGTATTTTACGTTTACTATCTGTTAGTCAGATGAATAGGTATGCTTGAACTTCACCGATTTTCTTCACGTATTTCTTTATCTTTTCGCTATACCTTTGATTCACATAGTTCTCGTCCCTCAAACGTTCGTCTTGCATCAGACGTTGCAATGTGTCTGTAGGTATACAAGATTGAATGACAAACTCGCGCAAAGTCTTTTCCACTTCCAAATGATTTGTAACGGTCAATGCTTCGTCAAAATGTAAGTCTATAGCAACAGCACTGGAATACATCAGACATTCATGTTCATGTTGACTCGCTCGACGATTCTCACAGCCTAAACATACGAATAGTTCTGTTATTTTTGATTTTATAACGTATGCATGAGAGAGATGCAGCAGCTTTTTCAGTAGTCTCCGAGTCTGTGTTTAATTCCATTATAACACATGTACGTATTGGTATGATCTTTTAATATGATAACGTAACTCAAAATATTTAAATGACGAACATCATCTGTTGAAACAGACAGTCTTTTGACCACCTCATGTGCTCCGTTTTGATGTCGTCAAAATAGTTCCAATTTTTTAAGGGTGATACCACACATGAAACACGAAACGCCATCTTCGATACCGGTGTAGAAAAATCCGTTACTGGCGAGATGATATGGAGATTGATGGTGATGTTTTGACCAATTAGCAAATGTGTCCACACGGTTACAACATTTGATCAATGATGGATGATGTGGACGTATTATAGCCGTATCATAACACGTTCTGATACAAACGCTGTCTGTGACCTTATCCATTAAAAAGTTAACGTTCTATAAATACACAGATACACCACAAACTCTCCGATAGAGTTAAAAGTTTCTTAAAAAATTCTCCCGATAGTCTTGTTTTCTTTCCTTCGTCCACCAGACAAATTCTAAGCCTACCTTACAATTTTCTGACAATGACTTCCTGTGTAAGACTGAGGCGTCAGACGACTCTGTTGGGTGAAATGTTTGTTACATTGATGTCTTTTTTCTTGATCTGATCTATTTGTGCTTGAGCCATTGAATGTGTCGAAAATTCTCCTCACTCACTATATATATACTCCTAACCGATTGGGACTGATAGGGACCGATAGGGGGACTGACAGGGGGGCCGACAGGGGGACCAACAGAAGAACTGACAGGGACCGACAGGGACTAACAGTGACAATGACTGACAGGGGGGACTAACAGCAACAAGGACTGACAGGGGGAACAGGCACCGACAGGGACCGATAGGGACTGATAGGGACGGACAGGGGGACTGGCAGGCACCGACAGGGACCGATAAGGACTGACAGGGACTGGTAGGGACTGGTAGTGACTGTTTAATACCTGTAAAATATATCTACTCGTAGTAACGGATCTGTCACACTCAGTAAGAGGCGCGTAGCGCTCTTGGACAGGCGTTGGAAAATGCCACAGAGGGAAAAAGAAAAGTACAGATGAGTGTACCTAAAGGACTTTCCGTTTGTCGATCTTGCTGAGAGGAAAAGAAAAAAGAAAAAAACAGTAAATATATATGTTTAAATCTAAGTCATGAATAACAAGAATTCCTGTCTTTCTTTGGAGGGGGGGGGGAGGGTCTTCAACTATAAAATTATGATTACGAAGTTCCATATGTACCATATATACTGTCACTGATTACTATGGTCCAGTACAATATATACTGTCACATGTATACTCTCACCTATAACTATGGTCCTGTACCATATATACAATCACTGATTACTATGGTCCTATAACATATATACCGTCAAATATAACTATGGTCATGTACCATATATACTGTCACCCTTTTTTGAAGTTCATATACCATGATACATAATATAGTGACTGATTATTATGGTTTTGT